TTTTTGGCGGCTAAGATCTCCGTCGGCGATGGTTTGACGATGGCAGTGGCGGGTGAGTTTTGGTTTGCATGTAGGTTCTTCTATTTCAATTTCAAAAATCGGATTCTGATTATTTTTGTTTTTGGGTTTCAGATTTGGACGAGGAGGAGAAGGGAGCAGCGGGGTCAGTGGGGAGGAAGAGTCGCCGTCGGCAGGGATCTCTGGCGACGACAACTGAGTATTTTTTAATCCTTTTTTTTGTTGTTTAAAGAAAAAATTAGATTCTTAGTTTTTTTTATAGAAAATAAGGTTAAATCAGATTGAACTTGTGATGATAAGTATGGTTTTCTTTGCATTTTGGTTTAAAGCTTAAAATTCACGGATTTGCTTCTACCTAATCTAAGTAGTAAAATGGATATTTGCGAAATGAAAATATAGATGGCTACTTTTAGCCTCTATGAATCGCTGCCACTGCTTGCGATTCTTATTGAACTATGGTTGATGATTGATTTGTGGTTTTTGTTGGATCTGAATCCAAAATAAACTATACGATTGAAAAATGAAAAAAGGCTTTAGGTTATTTCAATGAACCTATCTATTTTGGTGGTGTTCTCATATTCGGATTTTGTTATGGCTGATGTATAAGGAATTTCTATGTGTCTATGGTGTTTGGAGTGTTGACTCTGTTTCTTGGCAAAAAAGAAAATATATGACGCAAATAGTAGTTCTATGGAAACTTGGAAAGTAATTCATCATTATAAATGGATGGCGAGTAAAATAAAATAGAAAGTGAGCAGCTAAATTTAAACTAAATACTACTATATAGTGTGCATAATCAATACTAGTAGAGGGAAGACAATAATAATTATTGCTCAAAACATACACCACTTCAAGGGAAATGAGTGAACATATTAGCTAGTTCATTAGAATAATAGAAGAGATGAAATTTGAACCAAAAGAACCTGAGCACAGGGGTAAAATTTCATTATGAAAAGAGTCAAAAGAAGTTGAAAAGCTAACCTGGTGTGATTCAAGAATACCACTCTTTCTTCTATGATCTTCAGCGCCTTCTAGGGATGGCAACAAAACCCAAACCCACGGGTACCCACCCGACCCAACCCGGTCAACGCGGGTAAAATCCGTGTTGACGGGTTTTGGGCCGGGTTTGGGTTTAAACCCGTTCACTATTCACCGGGTTTCGTTGGGTTTGGGTTTAGGTAAACCCGGTCCGTGGGTACCTGCCCACCCATATAATTAATTTTTTCGGTATATTTAATATTCTAAACAACTAATCTTATTTATGTTTGTGGAGACATGTCTAATTTTTTCTTTTTAATTGTGTAGAATGAAGTTGATGTTATGGAGTGGAGAGTAAAGAAACTTAATTGAAAGGAAGAAGCTTTCAATTAAACATGTTATTTATGGATAATTTGTGATTTGCTTCAATTTTCTTGAGTTTTCTAGATTGGTGTTGAACAATTTGTGTAGTTAATTTGTGATTTGCTTGAATTTTCTAGAATGGTATTTTATATAGGGATAATTTGTATTGAGAGATTGATATTTGACTTTAATTTTGATAAGAACTTGTAATTGTAAATTTTTTACGACAAAACCCGTGGGTACCCATGAACCCGTGGATACCCAACGGGTTGGGTTGGGTTTGAGTTTTTCAAACCCAGTGGGTTTTACCCCCGGTTTTTTTCAAAGATAAACCCATGGGTTTGAGTTTGGGTTTAGCAAAACCCGACCCAACCCGACCCATTGCCATCCCTACCGCCTTCTTCTACAGAAGAAATAGTATGTATTTCTATCTCTATAGTGTTTTTTTTTCTTCCAATTCGTCCCCCTCAACAAAGAGCTCAAGTTGCTCATTTAAAGCAAACTAAACTGCCACGTGTCGCTCTCTAATTCGAGCATTTCTTTATTCTGACTTTGAAGGGTGTGCCTGGTCGGCTGGATAAGATATGGTCAGACCGAATTGGTCAAGGTCGGTTTATAGTTGGCTTTTGGACCGAACTGGTTGGCTGAGTTGGACTTTGGGTTTGGGTCGCGTTGGGCTTTGGACTTGGGCTTAATCAGATATGGGCTTGAATTGGCTGAATATCTCTTCTTTTGCAGGTCCCTGCATATGGGCCCAAGTCATGCAGACCTTTGGAATTTCGTTTATTGCTTTCGTTGTAATCACATAATCTTGTATACGTGTATTATATAGAGCTTGTGTACTTGTATTATATAGAGATTTATTCGCCAATCAAGGGCATGCATACAATATAAAAAGGTTAGACTAAAGAAATGTATCTCGATCGATCAACCCCAACCTCGTTGCACTCAAATTCCAAATTTCAGAACCTCAATTAGCCCTAAACATTATGTTAATGAGCAATGGTATTTATTGACTTGCCATATTATTTTAAACTTCCTTTCCAAATATCATGTGATGCTACAATTAGGTCTTTTTTTTAATATATAATTAGCATGATTGCTCCGGACAAAATGTGGTGTCTACAGGTTATTGTGGACCGACTGACCAAATCGGCTCACTTTTTACACATTAGATGGAAACCATCACTGGATACTTTGTCTCAACTATATATTAAGGAGATCATCAGATTGCATGGTGTGCCGATTTCTATTGTCTCTGATCGAGACCCGAGCTTCACATCTCGGTTTTGGCAAAGTTTACATGATGCCTTGGGAACTAAATTACATTTTACTTCTGCTTATCATCCTCAAACAGATGGACAGAGTGAACAAACCATCCTAACTTTGGAGGAATTACTTCGATCATGTGTAATGCAATGGGAGGAATCATGGATTGACCATTTGCCCCTGATTGATTTTGCTTACAACAATCAGTACCACAGTAGTTTGGGTGTTCCACCATATGAAGCACTTTATGGGAGGAAATGCAGGACAACATTATGTTGGGATGTAGAAGGAGCAAGGCAAATCTCAGGGCCAGTGATAGTTCAGATCACAGTTGACAAGGTCAAGGAAATCATGGAGCATTTGAGGGTGGCTCAAGATCGACAAAAGTTTATGTTGACACGAATAGGCGTGAATTTAATTTTGAAGTGGGTGAGAAATTATTTCTCAAAGTGTCACCATGGAAAGGCGTAATGAGATTTGGTAAAAAGGGGAAACTTGCACCTCGGTATATCGGACCCTATGAAATCACAGAGAAGATTGGACCAGTGGCATATAAACTAGCATTGCCTCCAGAGCTATCCCAAATCCACTATGTATTTCATGTTAGTATGTTGAAGAGCTACAAAGTGGATCCTTCCCATGTTATACAACCAGAAGAGATCGAATTGGGTCCAGATTTGACTTTTGAGGAGGTTCCGGTTGAGATTGTTGATTTTCAGATTAAGACTCTTCGTAGGAAGGAAATTCCAATGTTGAAGGTTGTGTGGAGGAATCAAGAAAGTGAGAGTGCTACCTGGGAGACTGAAACAAGTATGCGAGAGAAGTACCCTGAGTTGGTAGCGACATACTTTGCAGGTTAACAATCTTGTTTAATTAGTTATGTTTTGAACTTGCTGATGTGCTTTTGTTGTGATAGCCTAGTATAGGTTTTTGAAACCTAAACATGGGAACTTGAGGTGTTATGTGTTACCTTCTATGTTATGAATCACCTAACCTAAGAATTAGGTAATGGTTTATCTACGATAGACCATGTCAAGGGTAAGTAAGCGGACTTAGAGTACAACTCAAGGATAGATTTCGGGGACGAAATCTTTTAAGGAGGGGAGAATTGTAACATCCCGTTCCGGAAAACCCATAGTTCGATCGCTTGAAAGTTCGCGATTTAAAATCGAGCGTTTTGATAGTATTTCGACGAAAATCGGATTATCGATCTATTGGATAAGTATACGTATTAACTATATATATTATATAATATTATATATATATATTAATAAGCGGTCGGTATATATAATTCCGCCGGTCCATTTCCATTCCCATCCAATTCTTCTTCTTCTTCCTTTTATTTCCGAGAAGCAGAGCGCGGAGGGGAACTTTGGCGAGAGCATGCCAGAGCTTCATTCTTGAGTATTAGTAATCTGAAAATCCCGTAAGTAATGCCTAATTCATCTATACATTGTGATTTATCGATTTAGAGCTTTAAAACGAGTTTTTGGTTCATAAATTTCTTGAATTCCTGATAAGCCAAATTAGGGTTTCGGAGTATCCGGAAGCCGGATTGAGCGCAAATTTCATATACGAGCTTCCTGAAGTGAGGTAATCAATCCTCTAGTTCTAATCCCTGAATTTCGTCTATTATTTAGGTTGGAGCCGGGATCGCTGAATTTAGCTCCGGCCAGGGTTTGATGTGTTTTTATCAAGAATTTGACCCTAAGCCTAGAACTAATATTGATGGGGATACTACAGGGGATATTAGGACGGTCTCGGATTTTAATTCGAGGTTCGTTCGTGAAATTGACGTTTTAGTACGGGAGGCAAAAATCGGTGTTTGAACGACTAGAACTGGTGAGGAATTAGCACGAGGGTTTATCCCGAGGAAGTGCAATTATACGACTCCTGGTTATGTTGAGCCAATTGTGGCCAGGCCAAGAACATGTCTAAGTAATGAAATATGATTAAGCAAGATGAGATATGGATGATGTATAAGGATACCAAGTAAGAGTACTTTGGTCTCATGGTCAATTACATAGTAATTAGGGCTCCCCATGCTATTACTCCATTATGATATGTTATGTCACACCCCTAATGTGGTGTTGACCGTTGATTCATCATGAGATATGACCACACCCAGAGTGGTGTTGAGTCCAATATGACCACACCCAGCGTGGTGTCAGGTCCGATATGACTACACCGGCAGTGGTGGGTCCGATATGACCACATCCACGAGATGTTTGGTCCGTATTATCGGGAGAGTAATTAGCATGGGAGTAGCCAGGCGCCTATGATTAAAACATGATAAGATGCATATGCATAAGTCAAGGTGGTTGAGTCTTTTGCCTATTGGGATATGAGGATGGCTGAGGTCCGATCCTAGTGTTTTGGCTTGATTGTTAGATGTGTGATAGGGGTATGCTCTGTCATGAACTCACGATGCTATGATTATCTCACTCAGCTATGAGCTGAACCCCCTTTTATTCTTCTTCTCTGCTTATGCTATGTGTAAGCAGATCATCAGCAGCAGCAGTAGATAAGTGTTAGGTGGGAGAGGAGCTAGAGTTGAAGCCACGATGAGGTATGGTCTTCAACTATTCTGTGCTTGGACGACTACTTGAGATTTTGGCCAGTGATCCACACCTTTTTGTAAAAATGTTTTGAGTACGTTTTTCATGTGCATACTAGCTTCTGATGTAGTGTGAGATATCCACAGGTGTGGAAATTTGATGATATGTGTATATGTTGAGTAACTGTGTAAGTTGTGACGATTATGTATGTATAAGTATGGTATGCAGTTGTGGAGTATGAAAAGTGTGACTATGGCTAAGAAAAGCCAATGCATATGTTTGTGATGAATTATTTTGCAGGATAAGTTGCAAGAACTGTTAGCCCATTACGCGAGCAATTCATGTCGAAATTTTATTTGGGTAAATTTTGATAATTAATGTAACACCCGAGATTAATTCCACTGCAATTGTATGAACAATATGATTAGGCAAAACGTATAGGGTAGGGTGTTACATTTATTAACTCGGTTTTTATCATTCGATGAATGCTAACACAAAGTTGTTTTTATTTTTGTCTTGTTCGAGTTCATCAGGTTCGCATCAGGCATAAACTCCCCATCTGCAGTCTGGTCAACAAATCCTACCTCTCCAGATTACAGGTTAGGCATAGCCTGACTCTAAATCCGCCCTGTTTTCTAATTTGTATGTGTAGCTTGCATGTGTCGATTGCTTGCTTGTGTGCTCTGTCCGAGTCTTGAAGATTGAATGATTGTATTTTTTTGTTTATGTAGATGGATTGTGCAATTGCAAATGATGCTTTGAATGTGAATGATCCTCCTGTGCCTAGTTCTCTAAATCCTGATGTTAATGACAATGTTAACGGTAATGGTAATGGTACTGTTAATGGTAATGGTAATGATGTTTTGGTTGATGGGATTGAAACTGGTGAAGTCATTCTTAAGGAAGATAAGAAGTTGACTTCTGATGTCTGGCCTCATTTTGTTAGAGTGAAGTTTAATGGTGTTGTTAAGGATAAGTGTCGTTACTGTAAAAAACGACTTGGTGGTGATACTAGTAATGGAACCTCCCATCTGAGGCACCATTATAAAACTTGTACTCAAAGAAAGATACATGATGGTAGACAGAGAGTTCTGTGTCCTGATTATAAACCAACTGGAAAACCACTGTTATCTGCTTCTCAGTTCAGTTCTGATGTGTCTAGGAAGGAATTGTGCTCAATGATTATGGTCCATGAATATCCTCTAAGTATTGTTGACACTTGGGGTTCAGACGTTTTTGTTGTTCTTTGCAACCACAGTTCACTGTGCCTTGTAGGGGTACAGTGAAGAATGACATAATGGGGTTATATGGGGTTGAAATGGCAAAGTTTAAGAAGGTTCTTGATGGTAATATTGGGAGAGTTGCAGTGACCACTGATATGTGGACTGCACCCTACCAGAAGAGGGGTTATATGGCAGTAACTTGTCATTTTATTGACAATTCATGGAAGCTAAGAAACTTGATGTTACGTTTTGTTTGTCCCTGCTCCTCACACTAGTGAGAGGCTGGGAAACAGGTTGTTCAAGTGTCTTATTGATTGGAATATTGATAGCAAGTTGTCATCTATTACCTTGGATAACTGTACCACCAACGATGTTATGATAACCCATCTGAAAACCAAACTTGTTATGGATGATTTGTTGTTGGATGGTTGCTGGTTCACATGAGATGTTCTGCTCATGTACTTAATCTTATTGTGCAAGACGGTTTGGATGTCATCAGGGATGGCATTGATTTGGTTAGGGAGAGTGTTGTGTACTAGAACTCTACACCTAAGAGGGTTCAGACATTCTTTGAAATTGCTAAACCGATTAAGGTGACTTCTACAAAGAAACTTGTGTTTGATTGTCCTACAAGGTGGAATTCCACCTATGATATGTTGTCTGTTGCTATTATATACAGAGATGTGTTATCTCGATTGAGACAGAGGGATAGTCAATACAATACTGTCGCTACTAGTATGCATTGGCAGTTTGCTGCCATTATCATTGAGAAGCTTGAAATCTTCTGTGAGATTACTCAGCTATTTTCTGGTAGCAAGTATCCCACTGCCCATCTGTTTTTCCCCAAGATCTATGATTTAAGATTGAAATTGCTAGAATGGTGTGCTGATTCCAATACTCTTGTCTCTAGTATGGCTGAAAACATGTGGGAGAAATTTGCCAAGTAATGGGATGAGGTACATGTGGTTCTGGCAGTTTCATTAGTTCTTGATCCTAGATACAAGATGCATGTAGTTGAGTATTATGCTGGCAAGTTTGGTAGCACTAATACTGCATTGGTGGCTGATAAAATAAGGGAATGTATTTGTGGTTTGGTTCTTGACTACCAAACCAAGGCTGAGAAGAAGAATTCTGGTTCTTCATGTGCTTCTGGTGGTTCTTCTAGTTCTGTAAGTGATGATCTTGATTTCGAGCTCTTTGTGAGTCAGAGGAAAAAGAGCAAAACGACTCTGATTCATACTGAGCTCGATCACTATCTTCTTGAGGATCTTATTCCCAAACGATCTAAGGACTTTGATATATTGATGTGGTGGAAACTTAATGACCTTAAGTACCCCACTTTGCAAGCAATTGCAAGGGTTTCCTGGCCATTCCAGTCACATCAGTGGCTTCTGAATCTGCTTTCGGCTCTGGTGGGAGGTGATTAGACAATCACCGGAGTAGGCTTCACTACAATACAGTGGAGGCAATGATGTGTACTCGTAATTGGAGCATTGATTCAATGCAACAAGGTAATCTGCAACAACTAAACTTTCTGGTTTATTAGAGTGTTCATTGTTCTAACTATTTTCCTTTGTTTCATTTTTTGCAGAGTCAAAGGCTGATGTTGAGGCAATGGAAGGATTGTTTTAAGCTCTAGCACTTGCAGATACAAGTGCTGAAGATCAAACAGAGGGTAAGTTAGTTGCTTCTTCAATTCGTTTCCTTGCTAATCTTAGTTCAATTCTCTTAACACCTTTGTTTCCTTACTTGCAGAACAAGAGGAACTTGGCAATATGAACCGTCCACTATCCCTAGACGATTGATAGTTTGAGAAAAACCATTGCAAAGGTAAAATGCTAGTGATCAGTAGCACAATACTTATATATGATTGATGAGTTTTACTGATAGTTTCAATTCTCTAACCCTCTTGTTTTCTTTCTTACAGAACAAATGGAACTTGTGACAAAGGAGGAATGTTGTTCAAATCAGTTGAGGCGAGGAAAGTTGGTTTCCAGCGTGGACAAGCTACATCATTGCTGCTCGTTTCATTTCATCATTTATGAACGATTAGGCTGAATGCCTTTGTTTTTCATTTTATGTTCCTTTTAAGTTTGAACACTAGTACTAGCATGATGAACATGATTGATGGGTTTTGGGTGGTGGGATTAAGGTTGCAGCAGTTTGTTTGTTTGCTGCAGCCTGTTACTTGAATTTTGAATTTTAGGATCTGGGTGTTGGATGGTGGGATATGGGTTACAGCCCCAAATCTTTCTTTGTTTTGTTTTCTATTTCGGTGGGTTGACCATCAAGTAACTATTTTAATGCAAAGGTATTATTCAGGAAGTGTTTTTTTTTTGTTTAGACCATGATCCGTGGGGATCCGTTGGTTACCCGAATCCGTCGGTGGATGGGGACGGTATCCAATTTCCCCCCGTTTAGTCGCCGGGGACGGGGATGGGGAAATCCGTCGAGGTTGATGGGCGGGGATCGGGAGGCATGTACCCACTCCCGATTCGCCCCGTTGCCATCCCTAGCGGGAGGGGAGAGGTGGGGAGCGAGGTGTCGGCGTCGTAAGGAAGGAATCTCCGGCGGTGGGGTGTAATAGGTCGAAAAGGAAAGGGTAAAGTAGATTTTTTTAATTAAATAAATAAATATATATATATATATATATATATATTCCACGTCACATTGTTACGTCGACAAAAATTCACCATGACATCAACAACTGTTTGTTCAGCAGCAGTCGTGACAGTGTCGTTAAACTTTTGGACGGAATGGCTATATGAGTATATTTTTTCAAAATTTGGATCACAATGCGAATATTTATGGCTATAAAAGTGTATTTTGCCAAAATAAAAGTCTAAAATAAATTTTTTCATACAAAAAACACCAATCTAGAGCATACAAGCAAATTATAAATTATCCATACAGTGTCGTTTAACTTTTGGACGGAATAGCTATATGAGTGTATTTTTTCAAAATTTGGATCACAATGCGAATATTTATGGCTATAAAAGTGTATTTTGCCAAAATAAAAGTCTAAAATCAGTTTTTTCATACAAAAAACACCAATCTAGAGCATACAAGCAAATTATAAAATATCCATACAAAGTGTTCAACATTAAAGATAAACATATATAAAGAACATGATTAATTGAAAGCTTCTTCTTCCTTATCAACTAAACTTCTTTACTCTCCACTCCAGAATATCAACTTTATACTACACAATTAGGAAGAACAAATTGTACATGTCTTCACAAACATAACGATGATTAGTTGCTTAAGAAAAATATATTACTTTGAATATTATTCACCAAAAAAATAATTATATTGGTGTGGGCGGGTACCCATGAGGCGGGTATGCCTAAACTAGGGGTGGGCTTTCGGTCGGTTCGGTTTCGAATGAACCGAAATTATGAATACCGGGTCCCCGAAATTTTCCCAAACCTCAAACCGAATTCGAACATAATTATAATTGGGTTCGGCTTGGAATTTCACACAAAACCGAATTTGTGCCGCTACTTCTATCTTCTCCCTTTTAAATTATTTTCACCCCTAATATAAATAATAAATAAGCAATTATATGCATCATACCAAATCCCATCAATCGAATCACTTTTTCGAGAAATACAAGACATCTGTAGCTTGCAATTATAAGTCATAAGACACTAACATGATTCAAATATTTAAGTCTCAAAACAATTACAAACATAAAAATCCACCATTTGTAGCTTGCAATTATTAAAATTTGGTTTTTCGGTCGGAATTTCGGCTGAAAGAATCCTAGTTCCGAAATATTCATATTTTCCTTCCGAATTCCGAACCAAACAGCATTTCGGTTTCGATTTAATTCAGTTTCAGTTTGATTTCGCGGGTTTATCGAACCGATTGCCCACCCCTATCATAAACCCAAACCAATGAATAGTGCAATGGGTTTAAAGCCGAACCCGACCTAAAAACTATCAACACGGATTTTACACGCTTTGACCGGATTGAGTCGAATAGAATATCGGTGAGTTCGAATTTTGTTGTCATCCATATATATGTACCATATCCTTTGTGCTTGCCTTGGCAAATGGCAAAAATAGGAAAAGAAAAGAGTGGCGGGCTGGGTGGGCTGTTAATTGGGCTAGGCTTGCTTTGGATATCTCTGGTGTTTACTGGGAATGAAAAGGCCCACCCTAATTTCGAGGAGAGACGGAAACCCTGAGACGAGCGAGACATATATAGGGAGAAGAAGCGTTACCGTCCTCCAGCCGTTCACAATCAACTAAACAATGGTTTGGGGAAAAGATAAAATCTCGGAGAGGCAGGAGATGGGAGAACCTCCTTCGCCCAAAAAACAGAAGACGGAAGATCGACCTGATCATCATGACGAGCAGCTGGAGGTTGGTGCGGCAGATCCGCCGCCATCGTCATCTTTTTCTTCTAGTGTGAGTCCGGCGCCGGTGGTATCTCCGGAGAGGAACCTGCTGGATTCAGGAGCACCTGATCAAGAGGTGGCTGTGGGAGATGAGTCGTTCGAGGAACCGTCTAGTCCTATGTCCTGGTTGGGACTAGATCCTAAGAGCCCATGGCACGAGATAGTTATGAGGTCGATGAATACTGATTTTGGGTGAGTGTATGAATTTGCGCTGTTTGTTGTTCAATTTTTGGTGATGGTGTTATGCTGGAATTAATTCATGTATCTGTATGTGTTACGTTGGAATAATTAGTCGTGGGTTCGATTAGTGGGAGTGAGCTAGATAGTTAGTTAGTTAGGCGTCTTGTTGTTGTTCGGTAATTAGTTTCCTTGAGCCTGTTATCATGTGCATGTATGCTTCATTGGATATGACTTTACGATCATGATCTCACTCAGTCGTCATATTGATTGTAGTTCTTCTTCGGAAGACGAGGACGGAGATCTA